GATTATACCGCTGTACGCTATCCACACCAGAGCTGGCCATAGCTCCCTCAAATGTGAGTTTTTTACCTCTTCTTATCTGCACATTGAACCACATCAAAATTGAGAGCACTATTGTTGCTTTCTGTCTTTCTTTTCTGAGTTCTGGACTACCAGACGGTGTTGATGGAGACCCCCTCCCTACATATCCCATAAGCGGGGATTATACCGCTGTACGCAATCCACACCAGAGCTGGCCATAGCTCTCTTGAATGTGAGTTCTTTACTTTTTGTTACCTATCACACCCTGAACTTTCATACTATACCATTAGTCGCCTCTACCTCTCTTGTATTTACATATACGGAACGGTCTACACCAGACGCATCCACAGAGGAACTCTATCAAGTATCCTAGACCATCTATTGGCACCCTAGCAATACTTTACTGGACTATCTACCCTTATTTGGCGCAGCCCTTCCATATCTTTTTGTATCTATCCACTGAAGTACCCGAGGGGATTTCCTTCATTTGGGTTGCTGCCTACCTTGACTAATTTTGTGATTACTAGCGCTGAATTCTTTGTGTGTTTAACCAGTGTCAGTGGCCTAATAATTTATTAGGAGAGGGAGAAAAAAAACTGGTATGGGAGTTGCGTAGGTAGGGGAGACTGCCTATAGGAAGAGACTTCCATGGCAGCAGGGCCATCATCAGGAGGGTACTATAATCTGATAAAGGGACCAGCCATTCTTTGAGGTCCACAGGGGGCCCTCTAATATAACGTGATCAAGCGGGGCATCGTACAACATTGTGGAATCCAGCGATGGCACGGACTCTTTACAAGGTACAGCCTCTCAAACATGCATGGCCGCACAGGTAGGAAGTGCTGTCCAAACTATTTTTCCCAGTGCTCAGACAAGGCTATGTGGCTAGACAGACTGCCCATCACAGAATTTGTGTGTGTCAGTGCTTGTGTTTGTTAATGTGTGCATGTATGTTTGCCTGTGCGGGATGTTAGTCAGTATGTCTGGCATGGAGAATCACTGTGTGAGCAACATACAGAGGGAAAACAACAGTACCCAGCATTACACACTAGAGATACATTTATTATCGCATGCATTTTTTTCCCCCATAACGGGAGTCAGTGGGGGGCCTCATGTCTGCAGAGGCCTTAAGCAAAGCTTTAACAAGTATGTACTGAGAGTATATCCAAGGAAGTGAAAGGATGAGGAAGTAAAAGTGCACAGAAGTAGAGAGAACATTTATTTGGTGTAGCAATTACTGAAAACCAACACCACAACGTTTCTAAATAATACAAGTTAATATAAATATAAGCACATTCAAAAACGAGAAAATCCAGCTCACCTTGTGGGTAAATAGAGTCCTGTACTAAAACTTCCAAAGATTTGAACCTAAAGAGAAAAATGAAACCAAATGGAAACTACAAATCCATAGCATCTTAAGATCTTTTAACACATTAAAAAAAAAAAAACTGTGCACTGCCCATAAGATTTCTCTTAACCACTTGAGTTGCACCAGACATTAAAGTTACACTTAAAGAGCAACATCAAACCATTTAATGAAGAGACTATGCGGCATAGATGCTGTCCCTGCAATCAAAAATGACAAAGACCTAATACAGTTTTCCGCACAAATTATTGAATTTATTTGGTGATGTGCATCTAGTACTTCCAGTGCTGTTCTTTATGAAGTATTTGACTCACTGCTTCTCATTAAGCAGCATAAGAAACTAATATTATCCAAGATGCCATAGCCTTTTCATGGTTAATGCCCTTAAAGCAAAAGTATAACAGAAGTAAAAAACTACTTTAACAATGTATTAGAAGCTTTTAGAAAGACTTGGTAATTTTTATTCTGTAAAAGTGAGATTAACTTACATCAGCTGAAGGCCACAGCTCTTTTATGACTATTTCTATTCTCTTAACGACGTCACTCCTCATTGCAGCTTCTTCAGGTCTTGGAGACATAAAGTCATAAAAGTCTACTATTTCTTCATGAAGACTAGATTTAAAAAAAAAAGTGTTAGGACAAAAACGTGTAACATGCTTATGACATAATTAAAATAAAATAGGGCCAGCATAAATATTACAGGCCAGGAAGATGCAATACCCATCATTAACGGTTTTATATAGAATATAAAGTTTGTGAAAATCTAAACTAAGAACAGCTCACACAAAATACATAGCACTATTTTGTCTACATGCAGCACGGAAAATATTATATTCTCTGCTAACATTGCCGTAATCTATCGTCTCCCTGGTTCCCCTCTCCTCTTCCTTGACCACTTTGCTGCCTGGTATATATATATATATATATATATATACATATATATATATATATACATATATACATATATA